CTACTATGGATTTCAGACCCTTTAGATGAACGACCTTTGTGCAGAGAAGGTACATAATACTTTTTCAGTGCATTTGTAAACATGTCCCTGTATACCTAACCTACAGATGATATGGGTCTGCTATAGTGACAGCTACCAAACTATGGCTCCTTATCTCTGTGAGGAAGGGCAATTTCCTGGACAAACCTTAGTCAGGTAAGTTGAATCTTATTAAATGCAATTTAAGTATTTTGGTAGCCATCCCATTAAAATGTACATGTGTATATACTATTATGGGATATATGGAACTATTTTTGGAGGAAGAAAGGATTCATGCAATATCTGGGGAGTATTGCAAACTTCCCAAAACGACAGCAACATAGACACAGCTGTCTTTTGGGACAGTGTGTGTGAAGTGGAATTCTTACAATATGGGGAGGAGGTTGGGGGGGGGGGGAGAAGAGAGAGAGTTGGAATGCAACCCCTATGCACCTATCAACAGCCTTTTAAAGGAGACCTTTTATCTACTGACCACCTGTTACATAAAGACTGTTCAAAAATTCAAACTAGATTCTCCAGGAAGCAAGAAACAAAGAAAGGACTTTTGAATAAATAGACTAAATTTAAGCTGACTCAGGACCTGACCTTCTTTCCAACACAGGAGATGAAAAGTACTTCAGGTCCATAAAGGGTCTCAATACTTAGGGAAGATCTGGAAGGACTTTGGCTGGCTGAGGCACTCATAAGACTGGTTTCTTGTTCTGAGAAAAGGGTGTGATAAACATGAAATCACAGGAAAACCCTTGGGTGGGATTTGGAAGGACTGCACCCTCTAGTATGTATGTTGGAAGGGATGATCTCTGATAAGTTCATTAGCACGTGAGTAGGCTCTTTTATGGTTTTCAGTATGTTTCTTTTGTAGTGCTTTTACCTTAATAAAATAGGCATGCATAGGAAACAATGTATGGTATCTTGTAACTGTGGCAATCATGCTGCCTACCATCTCTGAAGAGAGAAATGAAACAGATCAGCCAAGGCAGATGCTTTTTTGCTGGCAAGAGAACAATGAAGGCCAGGAAACTGATCAGGGATACCTGGAGATAACCCACTGAGAACGAAGACACACTCTTCTCTATCTAAGAAAGGAAACAGATGACATCTGAGAGCAAGTGCCATTGCTGGACTACAGAGATGGGCACTGGGAAAACTCATGCTTCTAGCTGTAACGGTCCCTAAGCCAATCCCTGATGTATCCTCCAACATGCTCTAATATTGTCTTCGCACTTACATTTTGAAAACAGATTCTCTCAAACAAGATGGAGAGAAAAACAAATGAAAGGAGAAATGGTGAAAGTGACTATATACACTACCTTCTGCCACATACACAAAATAAACTAACAAATAAGAAGTCTCAGGGGTAGCCATGTTCATGTGTAACTTAAAAAAATGTGTAGTGCTCTCTAAGGTTTATAAATTATAAAATAATGGAGATTGCCTATCTCCTAGAACTGGAAAGGACCTTGCAAGGTCATTGAGTCCAGTCCTGTGCCTTCACAGCAGGACCAAGTACCATCCCTGATGAATTTTTGCCCCAAATCCCTAAATGGCCTCTGCAAGGCTTGAGCTTACAACCCTGTGTTTAGCAGGCCAATGCTCAAACCACTGAGCTATCCCTCCCCCCTAAGGTGCTGCAAGATGCCTGGTTTTGCTTTGTTTTTTAAATAAAAAATATTTTCGCCAGCCTTTTCAGTGATAAGCTTGGATATTAGTTGTAACCAAAGGTAGTTTAAAAACGTTAACATACAAGAGTGATTTCTTTAGGTTGTCCCTTTAGAAAAGTCTCTGATGCATTTTCCTGTCTCCATTTTTTTTTGGTAGTCAGAAGTAGACATCAAATGTACATGCAACTTCACTGATTGGGCTCAGAAAATCACTCCCAGACTGATGGCTTTTCTTCTCTTAGAGTATGTCTAGATTACATGCCTCTGCCGACAGAGGCATGTAAAATAGGCTACCCGACAGTCAATGAAGCGGGGGATTTAAATATCCCCGGCTTCATTAAAATAAAAATGGCTGCCACGCCGTGACAGCTCAGCTGATTATCGGCACAACGCACAAGTCAAGACGCAGATCAGTTGACAAGGGAAGCCTTTGTCGACCACTCCCTTATGCCTCGTGAAAACCTGGCCCCATTGAAATCAGAGAGAGATTTGTGATCAACTTCAATGGGGTCAGCATCTCACACAATCTTGATAGCATTGCAACTACCAGCTCTTGAAGAAAAGGATCTTTGAGATAAGAAGCAGGGTCTCTTACCATAGGTGCTCGAACTAGTGGTGTGGGGAAGGGTAGGGGTGCTTCCACGCCCCCTGGCTTGAAGTGGTTCCCTTTATATAGAGAGTTTTCAGTTTGGTTCAATGGCTCTCCACAACACACTAATAATTGTTCCAGAACCCTCATCTCTTACACATAGCTCTCAGCAACTGGCTATGTTCACCTTAACTTCTTTACAATATACAACACAAGCTGAGGAAGAGGATTTATTAAAAACCCATTAGGTATTATGTTCTAAGTCCTATGCAAAAGAAATTGTCTCCTGGAAAAGCAATGCTTCCATTTGTGCCAAGGGTAAGTTCCAGCACTTCTAGGGTTGGCCATTCATAATCCCAGCACTTCAAGGCATTCAGCATCAGATGTTAAGGTTAAAAAAAAAATTGCTTGAGCCCCAATACCTCTTTCATAGCAAATTGCTGCAAATAGCCAAAGCTTTCGGAAGCTCAACACGTGTACATGTGTGTGTATAAATAAATGAGAGAGAGAGAGAGAGAGAGAGATTACCTCATTGTTCAGCTGAGCTCTCATTAACATCGGAATAACTTTTGAATGCTTTTGAGGCCATGTCTGAATGAAGAGAGCTAAATTCTGCTTACACTGAAATCAATAGTAGTTTTATCGTTAACTTCAGTGGGAGGAAATTCAGGATCTAGGTCAGATCCAGAAGCACCAAAATTTTGCTCAACTTTCATAGTGCATATTGAACCTTTCCATGCAGATTCTCTCTCATGATCCTGCCTCCACACACTTAATCCTTGATTTCCCAACCCCCTGCTGCCTCCCTAAAACAGACTTCCCATTTAGTCTATTTTACTGGTGGAGTCCCTCACCAGCCACCTCCCAGCTGATTCGTGATTTATCATGAATTAGCTGCCGCATCTGCTCCAAGGACCTTGTCTTAATTATCACCATCTGACAACTGAATTATAGGCATTTACAATTCAACAATTTGCTAACTTTTTTGCTTCATTTTAAAAGAGGTCTGTCTCAAAAACTCCATTTCAGAGTGTTCTGTTCCCTGTGTAAAATACTTCTCCACTCTCCAAGTATCCAATCAGTTCCACTCTTCTCCAACAATAGAAATCAACCCCATACTTCCAAATCCATCAGTCCCTCTTACCCCAAACCTGTTTCCATACCTTTCAACCCATTGTTTTCTTTCCCATTATCAATACCTCATGGAATCTCCTATCAGCAACTCCCTTACCTGGTAGCAGTTCTTGGAGACCATCAACAGTGTTGTTTAGTGGCTCATCCTGTACTCTCTGGCTTGCCTTGGGTAAGGAGCTCTCCTACCTGGATAAACTAGGTTAACAATTCTTGAGGGTACACTTCCAATTCAACTGGCCTATTTTATGCAGAAATGCGAGAGAGAGAGAAAGAGAGAGGCCTTTCATCCCTTCCTCCTCTTCCCATTCACCAATCAACCTCCTGCAAAGGAATCATGGTGCCTTCAATTCCTTGTGATCTTAGGGAATTTGCATTGGTCATATTTTCTAGACCATCTTGACAATGATGAGAGATTAAGGTCAAATTTTAAATAGACCTTTTAAACAGCCCAAACAAATAGTCCTTTAATATTGCACTCAAGTGAGGCCCCCCAGGTTAGGCAGGGGAAAAACTGATTTTTTTTCTCTCTCTCTCTCTCTCTCTCTCTCCCTTAGATACCTCTCTCTGAACATTTTGCTTTCAAGAAACTTGCAGAGAGTCCTCTTTACCCTATGCTACAAAAGGGAATCTGATCATTATTTTTGCACCCTGGCCTTTTGTTCTCAAAGCTAATAGAGTGGACAGTTCTACAATGGATGAAGAAACCACAAGAATACATGTGTAACATTGCTAAAATCTTCTAGTTTCCACTTATGAAGAACAGAGCAGAAAAAAGCATTGCTGAATGGAAATGCATAAAATAGTTCACAGCATAGTGAAGCTTCATCTAGAAACAATTTGGTATATAGGGGATTGATTGTGAATGTCAGGGCTGCTGAATCTTCTAGCTCCAATTAAGTTCAATTAGAACTGTGGGTGCTCAGGTGTTGTTGTTTTTTTTAAATCCAACCAACAATTTGTTTTTTGGGTTTTTTTTAAACCAGTCCTAGATCTTTGTTCTGTATGCTAAGGATCTGAAAGCTGTTGAGGACCTAGTAAATAAATTGTGTTGGCAAGAGATAGAGGTATTTTAGTTAATTTCTGAGTCTTGCCAAGTCAGTTCTGCACAGTTGATATTGTAAAACCTCTGCTCCATGACGGTTATGTGACTTCAGAGAAGTAACATTCCACAGTGGAGTGCACTGCTCTGTTGTATATTCTTAGTAGGTAGGAAGACATGTGACTTCTACATAATGGCACAAAGAGCCATAAACATAGCTCTTGAAAGTTCTGGATCTTTTAGATTGAGCTAAGGGAGGTCAGTATGTTCTGCATAGGCATTTACACAACTGCTGTGATAGCTGAGCACCTGCTCAAATTCAGAGACCACACACAACCCCAGTTTTAATAGAATACACTTTTTTAAGTTAAAAAGAACTCAACCACCTCACCAATTACTAAGTTGAAAAGGAGTGTCGTAGAAAAAAAAAGTCAGAATTGTACTCAAGGAAGAGGACCAGGTAAACATTATAAAAACCACAACCAACAACAAAATTAGTTGTAAACACACATTTTTATTTATTACCGATGTATCTAGAATAGATGTTAAACATATACTAAAATGTCAATATATAAGAGAACATGACCAGCTATATTTTAAACAAGGCTCAGTGTCAGAAGACAAGCTTAAGTAATTTTAAATGCTACTAATTCTTCTCTTTAGAGAAGACTTTGTAATGAATAGTTTCTTGCCCTTCACTTTCCCTCCGCCTATTAGCAGTGCTGACCAGGACTGTAGGAAGCAACAGATGTAAACAACAATGCTGTTTTACAATACTGCTGTTTTCATGAAAGGAGATACTTTGGACATATTAAAATAGATCACTGCTTTTTCTGTAAAGGCCAAATCCTGTTCTCATTAAAAATCAGCTGGCCAAATTCATCTGATGTAAATCAGTATAGCCTACGATGAGTTGGGCTCCATAGCAATTTTGTAATTGACATCAATGGGAGCAGGATTACATTTTTGTTTCCTAACTCTGAGAATCCATGGATAAAATATTACAATCTTGTTTCCGTTTTCTATAGCAGGTGAAACACACACATACCTCATTGCATTTCTCCCTCTCCTATATTTTTGGTCAAAATGTCAATGAAAATTTGTTAAAAGCTGGAAAGTTTCAGCCAACAATATAGCCAGTCAAAAAAATAGAAAGACATTTCATGAACCTTCCCTGCATCAAACTGTTAAACATTACAGGACTATCAGTAAGATATATGTTTTTCCACTAGAATTTTTTCTGTCCCCTCAGTTGTTCCTTCACACAGCCAGTGCGCGCCTCTCTCCCCCCTCCCTCCACTCTCATTCCAAAAGCACACTCATTCCAATCCAAATGTGAAAACTCATCATGGGTGAGTAGGATTGAATTTAGACAAAATGATTTTACCTATTCCTTATTGGTTATTTATTTAGAGTAAGCAGACAGTATCTGTGCGATCTGTATTAATATTGTAGAATGAAATGGTGAGAGAAGTGAAAGGTGGTGTTTTTTTTTTTTTTAAACACATTCCAATAATTACCAGAGAGCAAAAAAGTTTTTGGAATTTAGATGTCTATATATTAGACATGCATCTTATTTTTGGATTAAAGACCAAAGTAAAATTACTGTTGTTCTGAATAAACAGGTACTTGAAGATATGGAATGAAAAAGAAGCTAGATTTAGCAATGGCATGCCAAGATGGCACCACAAAAATAAATAAATATTGGTACCATTTGCAACAATCTCTCTCAATCTGTTTCAGTTTCTTATAACTATTAAAATGTAGTCTCACTTTTGGCCTGCCTCAAATAAAACCTGAGTACTACAGTGTACTGCATTCTTTATTGAATATTCAATAAGCACTTCTATATCAGTAAATCTTTGCTCATTCCACAGTACGTTAGTCTGGTTTTAATAAAATGTAAGTAAGCTACCACATTTTTTATTAGATAGGAGGAAGTGGTCTAGGTTTTAAAAAATACAAATGGACACATGTATCCGCTAATACTGGCCCCAATCCCAGGTCTTGTTCTGGCCATTTTGCCCCATTCCATGGACACACAGCAGCCAACAGATCCAGCCCATAGGGAGATCATTGGATGACACTGAGTAGCCATAGTAACTTTTACAGTGCCATTCCACTCCCTGTGTCAGAACAGCAGAGGCAACTGAAAGAAGAGATAATCCATTCCTGGCAGCTATCCCTGGCTGACTGCTACTAGTTAACACAGGGTAGAGCAGTTTTTGGCCTCTAATTACTATTTGGGGTGATCCCAGCATCCCACTCCTTGGCAGTGCTATGTGCTCCTTGGCTTCAGCTGAGACTCTACCCCATGAAGTTTGCTCTTTCATAGAGATGTTCAAATACAGTCAACGCTCATATGACCCCTCAATTTTAATGGAGGGGCTCCAAAATGGAAATACCTTGAATATTAGTGGCCGCCTGCCTTCAGTGTGAGCCTGCCCTACTAAAGACTTCACATATAGGCCCACACCAGAGAACAATGTTTTATTTTTTAAATTGTTTTCTATTTGAAATAATCAGGAATACCATGTTTGTATTTCCCTGTTTTCGTGCAGGTCTCAGGAGGAATAGAGTACTCTCAACCCTTAAATGGAAGTGAGATGTTGCAACTTTAATAAAGGCATCTTTTCTTCTATTTATTTAGCAGTTACTTACAAAAATGCTTAGTCAGACTTCATAACTAACATTTTTCCTTTCAGTCCAGTTTCATTTGTTTGGTGTCAAAGTGATCATAATTTTGCCAGTTCTCCAGTCATCCGCAGACACATCCGGGGAAGAGGAGAACTGAGTTTCTACTGTAACTAAATAAGTTCAGAAAGAAAACTTTTGGGAAAAGGCCAAAACCAAAAACACATGTGCAACCCCTTTTCAGACTTCTATAAAGAGGTATAAATTGCAAAAGGGCATGAACTCAGTTCCCTCACCCCATCTTTAAAATAAGCTTTAATTTACATAAAGATTAACAACTAATCCTGCTTGGAAAATAATCAACAACAGTTCACTTTTCAAGGTGGCTTTTTACTTCAGGTGTACAGTTTCACTAATTCCGACCTGTTGTCATACCAGTATTTTACCAGGGTATTCTGTAGCTCTGATCCCTTTTCTTTTTGGCTTTTGTGCGTTAACAGTTATGAGATACAAGTCCAGACTTCCTGAAACAAGCATTGAAGTAGGCTGTATTTTTCCCTCTTATCTGATTAATTCATTTTAAGAGTGTGGAGTTTCTTGTATCAAGTCCATATCAGCTCTGAATTCATCTCTGACATCTTCAGGATGGATTAATGTTATGCCATTTAATGGTAACCTTTTCAGGGTTTATAATTGCATCTCTCCACTGATTTGCTGCTTCATTACTACTGCTATTAGAGCTTAGCCAGACCTGTGGTAAGAAACAAAAGCAATAGCTGAGTTGTCAGAGATTACGTTACTAGCAGCCTCAGGCAATCCCCTAGCATTACTTCTGATCAGTGATTGTGCATGCATATAATGAAAGCTAGCATGTATCTGCAGAGTATAACAAAATTCTGTCAAAGTTTGTATGGTCCAACCTGAGGGCTGGGAACACAGGGTATAAGAACAGAGTTCAATTTCTGCCTCAGAGAGAGTGACTAGAGTGTGGTGGAATCACAGGGAACAACATACATATTTCTACTTTGCAACAAACTGCCAGTTAAGCACCATTTGCTATCTCTGAATTCCACGGGTGCTACAAGTCAACGCTCAGGAGGAGTCTCAGAACTTTAGACTGCGGGTGGCTCTACAGTACTTGCATGATGCATTTCAAATTCACAGTTTAAAAAAAAAAAAAATCAGATATGCCCTAATTGTGCATTTCCTTGACCTTAGTGGACTTCTTGCCTGAATGACAGAATGGGTGATATAATATCTTGTATTGGACAGACTTCTATTGAGGAGAGACACACAAGGTTTGGGCTTTGCTCCAGGTCTGGGAAAGGAACTCAGCAAATCATAACTAAACACAAGGTGGAACCAGGGCCATCCCTAACAATGCTGATACCCTACATAGCCCAGGACCAGCACCATGAAAGGGGGAGTGGTTGTTTCAGAGGCAAAAAGCTAGGGTTGCCAATTCGCCCAGAGTGGATGGACTGGACACTGTTTGTTACAATGGCATCTGGTCCATCTCATCCAGGAGAGTTAGCTACTCTGGAGCAGGGCAGGAAGGGGGGCTCACCCCCACAGAAGTGTGACTGTGAGCTGGAGGACTCAAGAGGAGCAGTGGGCGGCTGCACAGCCAGCTGCAGAAAAGCAGTGCTTAGTAGGAGAAACCACTGCTTCTCTCCAGCTGCTAATTGCAGGGCCACCCTCTTTTCCTTGAGTCCTCCGGCCAATGCTTGTGTCACTTGCATCACCTGGTGAACAGGGGCTTGAAACAGCCCACCTGGGGGAAGCCCACCTGAGACACAGGGCTGAGGGCTGCTGGGCTGGTGCTGAGACTACCAGGGGTGAGGGGAAGTTGGAGGGAGAAGCTGTGGCCACTGGAGCCCATATGCAGAATCTAGCTGCATAGTGATAGAAATTTGATCTGAGGAAGTGGGTCTGGCCCACGAAAGCTCATCATCTAATAAACCATCTTGTTAGTCTTTAAAGTGCTACATTGTCCTGCATTTAGCTGCATAGGGCACCACAAAATTGTGGTACCCCATGTGGCTGCAGGTTTTGTGTATTGGTAGGGACAGCCCTTGGTGGAACAAATTGCTTATCATGAGTAGTCAACACACATTCTAGGAGACCATTCCAGGGGAAGTGGCCAGAATAACAAGTGAAGGAATGTGCCCATACCACGTATAGTCATGCAAGAAAAATCAGTTATCAGCAGTGTTCAAGTAACAGACAGCTGGTACAGAACAAGGAAATGAAGAGCAGCGCAAAGGAGGAAGTTTCTGTTTAATAATCTCCCTTCCATATGCACAAAGAGTTTCTATTAACTAAAGTTATTGGGATAAAACAGATAAAACTTTTCATTCTTTGCTCCATGCTTCAGAGGACTAATCCATCTAATACAAATCCCAATGGATTACACTATAATTGTTGTTAAAATACACCATGCATACACAATGTTGGCTCTCAGGACAGTTAGTGGGAATTTCACAACCCAGGAGACTACAGGATTAGGTCCTTTGTATACCTAATATCACAAAATAACTCCTTTCTGCATTAAAATAGTCATGCTTATGATCAAAGACATGCCTACAATATGCACAGTCTAAGCTTTGTCTTAGAATGCCATCCAATTAAACACCACAATCTCAAAAAAAAAAAAATGAAGCTATTGGCTTCAGCTATAGTCATCTTTTTTCAGCTCTACAGCCAATTGTTTGCAAATCATTTTTTTCTGTGGCCATGTTTCATGTCGCCTGTGTTATATAGCAGTGTCAGTTTAAGTATAAACAAGCCTTCCCACATCAATTCTAAACAGCAGAGGTGGTGCATTTTTATTTTTTTTTAGGAAAAAAATAAGATATTGAGAACAGCTCTGCAAATCAAGACAAAGTGACAAAGCTTGAGAACTGCAACATCATGCCCAAGATATTATTTATCCCAAATTAAAATAGCTAAAAAGGATGTGTCTATCCTCCGGCCCTTTTTTTTTAAAAAAATATAGTTTTACTGACAGGATCACAATGAGATCCAGCACAGGTGTGGAATTCTGCTCTGTCCAGCCTGGGGAATTCATCTTACTCAAGCTAAGATATGGCCTTCATAGCATATACAGCACTCCAGTAACTGTGTAAGTTTCAAATGTCATAAAAACAAGGTGTACCGATACAATGGTAAGTTACATGTTTACTATGTAAATTGCATGGTACTTCAGAGGGACATTATAAAGGTAGCAAAGCTCTCAAATAGATAATTTAGGTTCTAAAATTCAGATAGCACTGGAAGTGGATTATCAGGCCTGACCAGTTGGTCATTAAAGCAAGAAGGGAGGAGCGAATAGACAGGAAGTTGGGAGGGGAGATTTTAAAAAACTAAACTCTTCACTAGTAAAATAAATGTGGCCACCCAGTACTTTCAAGATGATGTAAAGGAAATCACCAGCATAAAATAAAATACTGTGCATTCCACTCAAGCATTTTATTAACAAACAAACAATTATGGAGGATCAAGATAACCATGGAACTCTGATTAAGTCTCGTGTACTCTAAACTGTGCTAGTTTCAACAACCACTGCAATAGATTTCTGAATTTCCTGCTTCCCTTTCAGGGACTTGAAAAGGAAACAAAGGTAACATTTAATATTCTGAATTGTAGGGGAAGGGAGGGAAGGCAGTCATTTAAGCTCCTGACATTTCCTTCTATGCATACATGTGAGAGCACTGCAAGCTGATATACCCTTTTTTTTTTGTAGAGGCTATTCAGAGTTGCGGAGCTCCTGTGAATGTTTCATTAGTTTAACTTCAGACAGTCTAAGTTATTGTCTACACTACAGACCTTACAGTAGCACAGCTGTACAGTTGCACCTGCACTGTGGTAAGATCTCCTGCATAGACATTATGCTAACAGAAGAGAGCTGTCCTGCCCAGAGGAGACTGGTGAAGGAGGGCACCACTTGCTCCGCTGTTGCCAGTAAGAGTGAAGGGAGAGGTGTATCTCCCCGCTACTCTACCTGTTGGTTGCTGGTCAGCCCTTTTACCCATGGTTTGAGGGGGACCCCTTTGTGTCCCACATGTCACTTATGCTCCTGCTGCATAATTAACTCACCCCTAACATCAATGGTAGCTTTATTGGCAGGCGAGCATTTCCAGTTGCCATAGCGCTGTTCATACCAGCACTTTCATTAGTGAAACATTCATGGATCAGGAGGATTTTTTTCCTCGCACCTTTGACTGACAAATGTTTTACTGACTAAAGTAGTAAGGTAGACAAAGCCTTAGTTGGTTAGGTATTCCACAAGGAGGAGTTTATCTGTATGTATGTGTGCATGAGAGAGAGCACAAGACTGGTATTTCACAGAGTGGGATTCTACAGGGTAAGAAGGGGAGGGAATAATCAATAGTGCTGTGAGGTATTAAGTGCCTTCTGAAGGGCAATAAGCACCCTCAACTACCTCTGCATGGGCCTTGTAGGAGCTCAGCACCACTCAGGAGATGCTCACATCATTGTAGAACAGGGCCCAAAGCTGGTACTAGCTGTTTAATCTCTGAGTGTCAACCATTTCATTCAATATACAATTCAAAAATATGAAGAGCATTTACTTTAGTGAAGGGCTTGACAGGATTGCTATTTAGCTCATATTAAGTAGATTTTTAACCTCTGGATTTCATGATAGTTACCAGTGGTTGGGGGAACAACAAAAACTAACCTGTCCCAGGAAGTGTTTTCTTCTTACTGAGGTCCTGCTGTAGAGTTTGATAAGAAAATTAATTCCTTGTTCATTCTGACTGACTGGAAAAATCATAGTTTCTCCCCACTTCACTCGGCCATTGGTGGGCTTCAGTAGACGAGTCTTTTTCTTATAAACCAACCCTTCTGTACTAAACATTGAAACCTTCACAAAGAAATCTAGGATAAAGGAAAAATGTGACACAGAGAGGTTAGCCCACTAAATCCTGACAAGGTTCATGTGTGTAGTTAATAGTCTAATAATTACTTAAAAGCTGAGCCAAATGAGTTCCTTTACTTAAACATTACAAGATCCATACAATAGCTTTCATTAAAAAACAGACATGCCTAATATATTCAATAATGTTGAAAAGATTAACATAGCATCCAAATCGTAAGGGCAGGCTAATGCTCTTGCATGTTAATATTAGGAGAAAAGAAAAGCCCAAACATAGAATAAAACCAAACATTTAATCTAGCCTGACATCTAAGGAAACAAATCTTGGCAATGGAAATCTACAGTGCTATTTAATATTAACCCGAGGTTTGTGCGGAATGTTACGAATTGCCAGCTGTTCAAGCAGTACTCTACCTGTAACAAATACTTCTAGACAGGAGGTATGAGACAGCTGACGTACGTACTTAAAGAGAGTGGTGTGGATGAGCTTGGGAGGCTTTGGGCTTCAAGAATCTGTAACTGAATCCTGCTGTTTATAGCTTGAAAACAGACTCCAATTTGAAGTTCTGCATTGCACACCTATAAAAAGAAGAATTTTGCTTTATTGTCTGGATTAAGTTGCATATAAACACTCAAGAAACATTAATTTACTTATACAGATATTTAAATAAACAGATGCCAAATTTCTGAATACTGAGGTATAGACAGATATACAATACTTTATACCATGAATACCCTGACTCTTACCCAATGTGTTTATGGGCTTTGAGCTTTTTTATGTAAAATGTATTTGTTCCATAAACAAATATAGTGTAAATATAATAAGACGTCTGAGTTTAACAAACACTGCACAAGTGAAATGGTCAGGACAAATTTTGAGACCTGTTGCTGTGTCTTAGCAAGCTCTATAAAAATAATGGTAATGAATGATTATACATTATTTCCAGTATCTCACCCCCTCTTTTCAAGTATTAGGATGGAACTTCATGAACAAAATCTGGAAGCAAAATTTAGACTTTTAACCAGGCAAACTGCCACAGAATTCTTCCTGAAATGCAAAACCTCAGGAGCTGGCTCTTTATGAGTTAGTTTGTATTTAAGAATTCATCTGAATCCTACCATTACATAACTAATGCTGTCTAGTGTCACACAGAGGATTATAGTTATGTAATGCTGTCTAGTGTCACACAGAGGATTATAGCTTCAGGTGATGAATGAGGAGCATTTATGAATATTCAACATCTACATTTGGCAAACTACAAGTATCATTTACAAAGGAACATTACTGATTTATTCAGATGTAGTTTGCTTCCAAATGTATTAACTAAAATTTGATTTATAAAAAATATGAGCATGTGGGCACATTTTCACATCAGAGATATATTTGGGGGAACTCCCCACAATGAAAATTAAGATGACTCTATTGTTGTGACACACAATTCTGTAACAACTGTCATGCTGTGGGTATGTCACCACACTGGGCTTCGTAATAGCAATAAGTAAAACAAACCTTTCATTACATTTCTCAAAGGATAGCTTTATTGTAGTTTCTGATTTAATCAGGCCTATAAATTAACACAGGTTTTATTATTCTTTCCTGTAACACTGAGCCACCAGCTGCTGTTTATTGCTCAGTTAACTGCCTGAGTTATTGCTCCAAAGCACGTAGTTTGAATACATACCATTTACATGGTCAAAACATCAAAATGGAGCAAGTAATTACTAATACTTCTTAGTACTTTTAATCCATAACACTTCAGGCCCTGTCTACTTTGCATGAACAATAAATTTCCCCAGTTGCCAGAGTGTGGTGTGCTTTCCAACAGCTGGTTGCAGCGCTGCACCCCACAAGAAGCTGAATTTCAGGAGTTTAGTTATAAAAAGTGTTCTGTTGTAAAGGGTTTGTTTTTTTGGGTTTTTTTTGGAGGGGGGGGGACAAATACAAACTGGTGGAAAATATTTAGTATAACACTCCAATTTCCAGAATTAATCTTACACTTGTTATTTGACTTTTCATCTCTCCTTCTAGTGTATGTGATAACAGTAGCAACCACGGTATATGGTATATAACTAGTGATCTGTCACTTACTGAAACTTTGGACGGAGGCATTATATCCAACCAATAATCTGATTCCTGTGCATTGAGTTCTCGTAGTGGCAGGGCACACTCTCCAATTGTTTTCTTCCGGGGAGCCTGAGTTTGTATTTTAAACACTAGTTTTACAGTCTGCAGAATTTGCAGTTTGATAGTAAACACAAACGTTTCCATGAATTCAATGTCCTGGAAGAAAATACACATATGTAATAGAGCAGTACAAAACAGTCAAAACAATGAAAAGCCCTATACAGCATGAAACCCAGAAAACATAGGTTAAGTCCTACAGTAGGTATAACTGGAAATATTCTTAGGCTGTGGCCATGTCTGCACTGCCACTGTACTACACTGCACCGCACCTTTCTGGCTGAGAGCTGTGGAAACCCTCCTCCCTGCCACCTAAGTGCAGCAAGTTACAATGCTGTAAAGCACCAGTGTACATGGGGGCTCTCAGCACTGTTAGCTACTCTGCTCATTTAGGCAGTTTACCTGGAGCACTGGGAGAGCCGTCTCCCAGGGCTGGAGACATGGTCATACTTTCACATTAAAGTGCTGCTGCAGCATTACTTAATGTTTTAAGTGTAGACTTGGCCCGTGTCTTCAATGGATAAAAAAAAGTGTATTTTTACAGCTAGATAACTATCATGGACTAACTATCTTGTGTAAAATCCTAGTAGTGACAACTCTCTAGACTCTTTTTTGCAGTGTAACTACGCAAGGATTGGAATGTGAGAGATCAATCGTGTGAAACTCTGAAATAAAACACATGCACAAAGACTCACTGTAAACCAAAGAGTTTTTGTTTCCTAGAATTTCATCTCATGGTAAACACACGCCTTTTTTGGCAGAGCAGATAAAGGTTTACAAAGTTCTCAGTCAGGACATTCTCTGCCCTGTGCTGATTGGCTGTCTGCTTCCACCCATCTCTTTCATTATTTCACTTCAGCCTCACCTCTGCCTGCCCGCCACTCTCTTTTCTCTGTCCCACCTATCTTTACCATCTGTGGTGACTTTCTTTATAGCTAACTCCCTCTTTACCAGCCACCCCCCAAAAATGCAACAAAACAAAACAAATAAATGGTGATACCAACATGGAAGTTTTCAAACCATTCCTTAGCTTCTGTGTTACACCTCTGGCTTCTTCCAGGTGTCTGGCCTTTTCTTTTAGGCCAAGAGTCCTTTGGGACAGGTGTTATCTACTACTCTGCCTATCCATTGCCCTGTATAGTGGAGATCTATTCTCAGTTGGCCTCTACACTGTACCGTATCATTGTGCTCTCACAGAGGTCAGTGGGAATTGGCTTCCATAAGGTAGGCCCCTTACTTTAAGATTTCTACCCCTTTGCACAAGCAAGGTGAATCTACGCCTGTCTCTATTCTCATGTAACCCTCAAAGAAAAAAAGAACCCTCCTTACTGAAGTAGATGTTCAGTCATTAGTCAGCCAGTAGGACCCCCAAGCTTTAGAAATACACAGTAAAAATTAAGGGATCAAACGATCCACTTCCCAATTCATGTTTGTACAAAGAAGTATGTCCAATTTTAATAATAAAATATCACCAAAGATAGTCATTGTAAGAGAGGCAAGTTTTTGAACTATACAGAACTCTTCTTGAGCTCTGGGAAAAGTACTCCGAGCGTCCCAGATACACAAAAGGTGGAACAGGTTGTTTAACAAAGTAGTTCATACATATCAAGGGACTATTCACACCTCCAGTCATAAGGGAGAAAGCAAGGGAGCAGAAAAGCAGATGGAGATGAGGGAGTTTCTAGTGGGTAATACAGTAGATGGCTGTAATAAGCCCTAAATCCTGTGTCCCTGTTCAGTCCATGATTGTTAGCATCTAGAAGATTTTTTAATTTAAGTTCCAAGGCTCATCTTAAGTGTTGTGCAGGGTTCCTTTGAACTTGTCTCTCTCACCAACAGAAGCTGGTCCAATAAAATACTCCTGGGGGAATTCTGTGTCAAAAATTAAAAATGTTGACCACAATATTTGAAAACTATGCATATTTATCAAACTAACAATACATTCACATCAGTTTCAATTACTTTGATAATGTTTTTAACTACAATGCAATGGATGGAGAATCACAGAATCATAGAACACTAGAACTGGAAGTGACCTCAAGGGGTCATCGAGTCCAGTCCCCTGCCCTCACGGCAGGACCCAGCACCATCTAGACCATCCCAGATAGAGGACTACCTAACCTGTTCTTAATTATCTCCAGAGATGGAAATACCACAACCTCCCTAAGCAACTTATTCCAGTGTTTAACCACCCTGACAGCTAGGAAGTTTTTCCTAACTTCCAATCTAAACCTCCCTTGCTGCAGTTTAAGCTCTTTGCTTCTTGTCCTATCCTCAGAGGCCAAGATGAACAAGTTTTCTCCCTCCTCCTTATGACACCCTTTTAGATATCTGAAAACTGCTATCATGTCCCCTCTCAGTCTTCTCTTTCCCAAACTAAACAAGTCCAATTCTTTCAGCCTTCCTTCATAGGTCGTGTTCTCTAGATCTTTAATCATTCTCGTTGCTCTTCTCTGGACCTTCTCCAATTTTTCCACATCTTTCTTGAAATGTGGTGCCCAGAGCTGGACACAATACTCCAACTGAGGCCTAATCAGCACAGAGTAGACCAGAAGAATGACTTCTCATGTCTTGCTCACAACACTCCAGTTAATACACCCCAGAACCTTGTTTGCTTTTTTTGCGACAGCATCACACTGTTGACTCATTTAGCTTGCGGTCCACTATGACTTGTAGATCGTTTTGTGCAGTGTTCCTTCCTACATAGTCATCTCCCATTCTGTTCCTACCTAAGTGGAGTACTCTGAATTTGTCTTTATTAAACTTCATCCTATTTACCTCAGCCCATTTCTCTAGTTTGTTCAGATGATTTTGAATTATGACCCTATCCTCCAAAGTACTTGCAATCCTCCCAGCCTGGTAACATTTGCAAACTTAATAAGCGTACTCTCTATGCCAACATCTAAATTGTTGATGAAGATATTGAATGGAACCGGTTCCAAAACAGACCCCTGCAGAACCCCACTTGTTATGCTCTTCCAGCATGATTGTGAACCGTTAATAACTATTCTCTGAGAACGGTTATCCAGCCAGTTATGTACCCACCTTATAGTAGCCCCATCTAAGTTGCATTTGCCTAGTTTATTGAGAAGAACATCATGCGAGACCATATCAAATGCCTAACAATAATGAATGGGAGTGGGGAGCATAACTGCAACCCCCTTTTGCCTAAAAGTAACATATGATCTTTTACTGATAATTATTAGTCAACAAATATATGACACCATATGCTCAGTGTTACTTTGTAAGCAACTAAAGAGCAAGTGAGTGCTGGGGAATCAAATTCAATTTATATTGGCTACTGAGCATCTGCAGAAAGGTCAGTAGCAAACAGGACATGGAACATATTTTGATAGGATATTTTTCCATTCCAAAATGTGGACCAGTTCTAATCACTAAAGCACCATAAGCATTTTTAAGGCCACAGAGTCTTTTACAAGAAGGCTCCTTTACACCACTCTGGCAATGCAAAGGACCCTTTAAAAACGTTTACACCTGCTTTATACTTTTGGGAAAAATTCACTAAACAGTCAGGCTGCTACATTCTGCTTTGTGTGTGTGGATAGACCTTGCCCCATACCTGCCTCTCTCATGTAGAGAATGCCACAATAGCAAGCAAGAGACAAAATGTCTCTCTCTCTCACACACACCCCACCCCGCCTAGCCTTTTCCCTCCTCCTCTTCCTCCCTACCCCATGGTGATTTACATCACTAACTGCTCTGGGCACCAAAACCAAACTGCTCTGGGCCCTGCCTGCATTGCCAATGAAGGGTACATGACTATTCCTGCAGTTTTCCTTCTCTTCCATCAAAAGTCATTTCTATCTGAGGAAACAAAGAAATCTGTGGAACACATGAATTCTGTGCTTGCACAATGGAGCAGAATTCCCCCAGGACTAAATAAAAGCCATTTACTCACTCACCTTCTCCCTCTAATATCCTAGGACTGATACAACTATGACAAAACTACCTACAAAAATAATCATGTCTTGCCCATCCACTTCCCCCCAAATATAGTTTATATTTTCCAAAGTGCACTGTTAATTATCACACTTACGGCCCGATTCTTCTTCTTAATATAGAAGCAGAGTTAACAGGTTTGCACAGGGACTGTGCAGAGATGAAGATGAACTGAAGCCTTCATATGCAATTGCTGGGGAGTAACACAAGGCAGTACCAGTCATGTGACAGCCTCCCCCCTTCTCCCCCCCCCCCCAAGGAAGGACCATCACTAGGAGGGTGTGGAGCCCAGGACAACCCTCTTTCACCCCAGGCCCCGCTTCTTCCTGCCCTAGCCCCACTCTCATTCCATCAAGCCCCCTCAAGTGATGTGGCCTGGGGGTCTGGCAGAGCACCTGGCAACAGCAGCAGGTGTTCCCCTCACAATGCAACTCCCACCGATGGTGGTGGGAAGCAGAGCAACCCAGCTGCCAGCGACGTTGCTCCATTTCCCGTTGCCAAAGAGCGCGGGAGTCGGTTCCACCCCTTCCCAAAAGCCCCCTCCCCATAGCCAATCTCTACTGCCAATGCCAAGTGCCACACTGGCCCACTGGACCCTCACAGGGCTCTTGATGATTGCCTCGAACTACCCAATGGATGGGACAGCTCTGCCTGCTGACCCCTTGTCCCTTCCCCACTGCATTTGAGGGGGCACACGACTCTTCATGCCTTGCTCCCCCATATTACCCCAGAAGCCTCCACTTTCCTCCCTAAGCCAGAGCCAATGTGAGAACTGTGAACATACTCCAAGGCAGTTACCAGGGATCTTAGCCAGTGGATATATGCAGGACATGAAAGTAAGTGGGTACACACAGATGCACAGCTCTGGCAGGAGTTGGCTGAACTGCAGCAAAAGCAAGCAGGGAGCTACTTAAAGAGCTGAATAGGATACTACTTGTAAAAAAAATTAAATTACTTTCACTACTAGACATATGTAACAACTACACCCTCTGGCCAGGTGCCTTCACCTCCCCTGACCTCCCCTCTGAACTGTTGCAGAAAAAGGCACTTATGATCTAGTCCCGTCAACTAACTCTCCATCTCCAATGGAGCAGGACTACAAAAATTCTGCTCTTTCATGATGTTCTATACCTGCAAAGGATGAAGGAAAGGATTGGTGAGATAAACAAGGTGTGTCCCCTTTTTAACTTCTTAGAAACCAATAATAATGTCCTGACACTAAGAATTCTTATGGAAAACATGGTGCAAGAGAAAATGAATTAAATAGAAACAGGATCAAAATAATTTTTGTTTGCAGAAAAAAAAAAAAAAAAAAAAAAAAAAAGATGTTTTTCCCTCCCACCACTTACATTGGAACCTTCTTTGGCTGAAGATTTGAAATGCACCGGCTTAGGCAATGTGAGAATTCCTTTGACAGTAATATAAGGATTTTCTCCACAACTGGACGGCCAGCTCAGATCTTTGCACTACAATATTGAAAAGAGAGTCATGTTAGAGAGCGCGAGTCCCTACCTTTAGGCTAACACAAAAGTATGTATTTTTGTTTACTGTATATTGTAAGGAAAACATTTTAAGAATATTTTTAAGGTAAATCAGAGATAGTGTGATGTCCATGTCATTTCAGAGCTTAATTTTTGAGTACAAGAGAATCCATTTCTGCAGCAGGGTGGAACAGTTACTTAGGAAACTTTAGTGAATTACATGATATTCCAATAGTAGGAAAATGCCCCAATGCAGTGTATATTGTTCCTTTCAAGCGTCACAGGATCCCTTGCTATTCAAAATTCTACTACCACAAAACCACTTACAGTTCATGGAATTGTGTAAATATATGCAAACAGAAAAGCCACAAGAAGTTACAACTCAAAATATTGTGTAATGGTGTTACGGTTTTGTCACTGACATATTGGCACAATTCAACATTACTTCACTGCATCTTATTTCAAGTGCAAAACTATCATATAGGGCCTGATTCTGCCACTCTTGTACAGAGTGAACAGTACCTTATTCCAAAAGCAGTCATACTACAAAGCATGACAGACATTCATTAGTGATTAAAACAAAAATTCAGGAGGCAACATCTTGAAAGAAGCAATGAAAGGTGTATCACAGTTAGGCCAAAGTAAGGGCATATATTGAGATACAGATGGTCTCTAGACTGAAGTATCATCAGTTCTCTCAGTTAGGTTGGACTTCTTGCTTCTGTAAAACTAAGTACAATAAAGTCTCCACTTGAATCCATTATTTAGCTAAGCAATATTCTCTTACATGCAAGACTGTGATCCAGATCTGTTCTGCAGAAGGAACATAACACAGTTTCACATTCATTCGTCCAAAGTCTCGTTCATCCCCTGATAATGTAATGGTATCTGGGGAAAAAGCCAAAAAAGCTGTTTAAAAGCCTTCCAATATTTTGGAGATCATTCTGAAAAGCCAGGATACTGTTCAGTTTTTGACTAGCATACAGGCAGTCCCCGGGTTACATGGATCCGACTTACATCGGATCCCTACTTACAAACGGGGTAAGGCAACCCCGCACTAGCTGCTTCCCCCCAGCAGACCAGGGAGCCGCGAAGCTAGCCCCCCCTCCCCCCAGCAGACCAGGGAGACGCGGAGCGGCTTTTCTCAGCAGACACCTCAGCTTGAGAATAAAGGACTGAGGGAAGTGAGGTGTGAGAGAATAAAACTGAGCTCTGGAGAAATGTTTGGCTAGAGTTTCTCCTACAATATGTACCAGTTCCGACTTGCATACAAATTCAACTTAAGAACAAACCTACAGTCCCTATCTTGTACGTAACCCGGGGACTGCCTGTAATTTAAAGCTCTCTCAAACTGAGTTTGAAATATTTCAGCTCTGATTTTAAGGCTGAGGGCCCAACAGATCTTCAAATTGACCCTCTGTGAATTACAGGGTATTAAATTTCATCCAGTTGCCCTGCACTAAGACTAATAATGTATATTTAATTAAAACATATCCTCTAGAAATAGGTCCAGTATTGATTTGAAGCCATCAAGAGATGGAGATTCCACTAGTGGTTAACCACTTTCACTGTTAAATGCGTGTCTTATTTCTAACTTGATTTTGTATGGCTTCTGCTTTCAGCCATTGACTCTTGTGATGCCTCTCTCTGCTAGAGTAAAGAGCCATTTTAGTAGCTGGTATTTTGTCCCCATAAACGCACTTCTACATAAGGCTAAGATTTGTCACAGATATACGTAGTAAAGAGTCATGGACAAGTCACAGGTAATAAAGACAAAGTCACATAAACCCATGACCTGTTAGTGACTTTTAATAAATGTATCTGAGATAAAACGGGAAGGGAGAAGGCTTCAGCACCCATTGCTGTTGGAGCTCTGAGGTCCACCACTGTGGTTAAGGAACTGAGGCAGGGCACCACCTTGGGGCTGAAGTCATGGAGGTCTCTGGAAGCCACAGAATCTGTGACTTCTACAGCCCGTAACAAAATTATAGCATTACTTATACACTATAATTAAGTCACCTCTCAATCTTTTAGATAAACAAATTGGGTTCTAAGTATCTCACTATAAAGTCATTTTATCTAATCTTCAAATAATTTTTATGACTCTTTTCTGCACTCTCTAAGTTTTCAACCTTTTAAAAAATGTTTATACTAGAACTGTATGCAATATTCTACTAATAGGTCTCAACAATAATAGTGGTATTGGATTGCAAGCTTCTCCATTAGGAAAGGAAGAGAAAGGACCAGAACTATCACTGAGATACTTCCCCTTTTCTGCTCTCCCACAAATTGACCAATATCCTAATTAACTAGCTAGTTAACTCATGGTGGGATTTTCCAGAGCATTGAAGCTTGTCCTCCTATGGGTAGGTCTATATTGTAATTACTGGGTGTGACCCCAGCTTGAGTTGACATATCTGAGTTTAGCTAGCGCAGATCCTGGGGCAGGAAGCATGGGATCTACGAGCAAGCCCGCAATTCCGGGTAATTACTCAGAGGGCTAGCCCACACTGAAACCTTGCATCGCCGTGCAGTGATGTAGCTAACTTGAATCACACAAGCTGCAATTACAGCATCTCCAGACTTTAGGTCACTAAGGTGGTCTTAAAAATCCCATGTTCCATCTTTTTCAATAGAAAAGCTGCAGATGGAAGCCCAAGATAAGTAGGCATCTGTCGGGGGGCTCCCCCTGGGTTTGGGGTTGCCACCCCCATCCGGGGCATAGTTCGGCCCATGTGGGCCTAGCCCCCAAAGTACAATGCCCCTCTCCTAGGGGAAATATGGCCTCCTGGGCTAGTCCTCCTGATGCTGGCTCTGCAGCCTAGTCCTCTGGCTGAGTTTCCCACTCGCCGGGGTTCTGGGCAGGAGGGGTAGGGGGGCCCCGACCCAGGGCCCTATCAGTGGCGGGTGGCTCCCACCACTGGCTCGGCGGGGGTTCCTCCCCGCAACGCACCGAGCTCTCAGGGGCTTTTCCAGCTCCCTGCCCTGGGTCACTTCCTACCCTCTGCCCCCGGCCCGTCGCGGCCCCACCAGTCGGCGTTGGTTGGGTGGCTGTAGCGGCACTTCCCCAGTCAGCGTCGGGGTTGGCAGTGTCCGGCTCGGTGCCTGGGTCCCGGGGTGTCGGCTGGCGGCTCCTTCGTTGGAGTCGGGCCCGGCTTGGGCCTGGCAGCGGCGCGTTCAGCCATCCCGTTGACTCCCTCCTCGGCAGTTGGGTGCTCCCTCCACCTCGGGCCGCAGTCTGCCCCTCCTCAGCAGGCCAGCAGCCTTTTATACCTATGCTCCCCTTGGAGCGTGCCCAGTAGGGCTGTGTGGGTGGGGCTCTCTCCGCCCCTGGCACCAGGTGGTTTCCCTGGGCTTGAGTGCGGGGCGGGGCTGCCCCGTCACAGCATCTTACATTGCACATTACAAACTAGCTACCAATGGATTTGCTTCTCAATACCACTCCATAAAATCACCTGTCTGCAGTAACGCAGTTTAATGTACATTGGACTTCACTGTGTTTCATTGCTAAACTAAAAAAGCACCTCTTACCCAGGCTCTTGTTACTGCCTTGTGAATCCTTCTTCGAGGAGGTACTGCTGGGTACGCTGGAGACGGAATCATATCTCTGCAAAGAAAATGCCTCTTTAGTCAGAGAGTGGTGAGTGTGACAGAGCCAGGAGAGTTCAGATTGTAAAAAGGTGGGACACTCTGATAACTGAGAGGATGTAAATTGAAGTTCTCATTCATTACTAACCCCATGGAGCTGACAGTCTGGGATTCCTTGGAGCTAGGAATGAACATAAAATGCAGTGCCAGTAGGCATTGATTTTCCCCCATTGACGCATGAAGATTTGTCATGAGTTAGCAAGGTTTTCATTTCCACTGCACTGTTGACAAACTAACCCCCTGTGCAGTTTTATATTTGGCAAGGGATATGCAAGACAAGGAACCACAAGTACTTATACTTTTCCGAACCAATTGACTCAAGTTTCCCCACTATGCTGTGGGGAAGGCATGATGGGGGGAGGGAGATTAGGAAAGAACCAAGTGAAATTTTTTACAGTTTTGAACTTCTTCCACTGCACATCAGATCGGCTCTTAAAATGTGAAATGTGATGGTATCACACAGGTACACAAAAGAAAATGAGTTCTGGGTGTGTCATAAGTTATTATAAGAACTCACCTGGATGACACGGTGGGGAGGATTTGAGAGATCAAACAAAGAATGACTTAAACCAGATGACCCAGGAAGTGTACTACTCCTTAAATCACAAACTGAAACAGAAAGGGACAAACATATTTACTCTGAGCAGCTGAAATGACTAACAGTTGAGCTGGCAGGAAAAAAGAGAAAGTAGGTCTTCATAAAACTGGATTCAAAACCAAGTTACAGTAACCAGATGTTTGTCCATCCCAAAACTTGCTTCCTTCACCCAGTCCCAAACCAAATATGGGTTTAAAACCATTTGTAACTATTTAGATGCATGTGGCTATTCTGCATGGTAGAGCACACGCATGCCAGAGCCATATCCAAATCACTGCATTTTTAAATACATTAACTACAGATTTGTCACACTGATTGAAAAGGACATGAAAAACAATTTTTGTTGAGCTATTTATTACAACATACAATAATACACTTTGATGCACAACAGCATCTAGGTTAGATGCAGGTATGAACTTGAAAAGGGGGACAGACATGACTGTGGTTTTTGCTGAACAAGTTAAAAAATAAACCATAAGAGATTGTTCACTAATATGAGATTTAGAATTAAACATACCTGGGAGTGGGAGGAATCACGAAAAATTGAAACATTGTTTTCATTTTGAAAACGTAAGATCAAGCTCCCTTTAGTTTTGTTTCTAAATCAGCATTTTTACTAAAGAGAGTTAATGAACATGGAGTTTTCATTGTATCAGTGATTTATTAGTTTTGTTTTAGGGTGAAAAAAGCCCATTGCTGGTTGAGAATTTGAAAAAAGGATGACCAGCTCTATTTATAATTTAAGAATAAATCACTAAGAAAGAGGAATAAGCAAATGAGAATTTTCAGACATTTTTGCAGGTTTGCTTTCTAACTATGAAGTTCAAGAAGCCATTAGGTGTGCAGCAAAACCAGTCAGATTACGTGCATAACAGGGGTGCACAGTTCAGTGCAAGTAGTAAGGAAGAGCAAGAATTAAGGTTTCAGCAGCTAAGTTAACTCTGCTGCATTGCACTCATCCTGCATATTTTATAAGATCAAACTGTAATACACGGAATGACACATGTAACCAGAAAAAGGGAAATTGATAGATGCTTTAGAAAAATCTGTGCGCCAAATATCAAACAGACTTCCCCTTTGCCTCCTTATTTCTTCGCGCACTTCTCTCTTCTGAATGGCAAGAAGTGGCATTGCTTATGGAGTGCTTTAGCAAAGACATGGGTTTTCTCTTCAAATTCGGTTCAGACTTGGGTTCAGGTTGACCTCCTTAGATAAGGTTTTCCACTAGGGTTTCTTCACCAGGAATTATTAATTTTCTGCACCCAGGGGTCTTACCCTTGTGCTTGCAGCAGCACGCCTATCATAATTGTGTTGCTGAGTCACAGGTAGGAAACTGGTCACAACATCCAGCTCCTAGTGAGTTTTGTAGATTAGAATTAGAGTGATAAAGTCAGTCTAGAGGCCATAGTGCCAAAGAGAAGAAGTAAGGTAATTGATCAACAACTTTTCTTGCTAAATGGGCAGACTGCTGTCCAGAGCAGTTTTCATGTTGCGTCTATATTTAACTTCAGATAGATCAAGTTGTAATAGCTAACGAGGAGGTGACAAATTGTTCTCTATCACAATAGCAAGGTCCTCATTTGAGGGGAAGGGCAGAATCTCCTGGCTAGCTAGAGATGGTTGAAGTACTTATCGCGCCTGGAATCCTTGTTTCCCCAGAAGCAGTGAAAGAGGCTGGGCACCAGCCAAACACTACAATATTGAGAACAGAAAATACATCTTCATATTGGTGAGTTACTGTCACTGTTTACAGAAGCTTTTCAACTCCCTCCCAACACCAGTTTTCAATAGACCTCTAACTCCGCCATGCTGACTCATCTCCAATTTTAAACCTATTAGAAGGCCACTTGCCGCACTGCAATGCTTTCCTTACTAAGTGATCTGTAGTCAAGGGACATTCATTATTCACAGTTCAAAAGGAGGGCACAATGAGAATTTAGATGTTATCATTTTCAATTGCCTTCTCACTACCCCCAAAAGAAAATAATTTTGTTAGTATGAACTGTCATCACAGCATAATGCTCTTCCTGAGAGGGAGAAAGAGGCAAAGTTCTGACTTGAAAGAAGGAGGGAAAAGCAAGAAGAGCATTCAGTGATCATTTGTGGATCTGAGATCACTTCCAAATTATCTATCTTTCTTTGCAAAAGAGCAACAGGGCTTCTGGTCGGTTTACAGCAGCTTATGCAGAAATACTAGATTTAGGGTGACCAAGTGCCCGGTTTTGAACTGGAACATCTGGTCAAACAGGAATCCTGGTGGGTCTGGTCAGTGCAGCTGTCCAGGCCATTGATTATTTGGTTGCTACACCACACAGCAGAGCTGGCAGGGTTAGGCAACAACCGGTATGTCCAGCTTCTAAGGGTGGCCGGCGTGATGCATGCTCCACCCCGTGCTCTTAGGCACAGCTCCTATGCAGGACAAGGGAAGAACTCATGCAACTTGCAAGTGCTTACCAGGCAGCTGTTGAGGGTTTGTGTGGTGCACTCTTGTCTCCCTGCTGCCTGGCACTCTTTTCCTCACACTCCTCCTGGACTCAAGCTCTGGTGCATGCACTGTGGTGAATTGTTGTGTGCCTGTCATCCCATCACTGGCACAATGTATGCATATACTGTGACAGAGCTCTGGCTGTGCCCATGGGTCCTGGCCAGTAACCTTCAGTCTCAGAGGCACAATGTGTCCACCACATGGCCTCCTCCTTTTTACTAGAGGCAGGGTTCATGGCATACTGAGCCATACTCATCCCAGGCTAGTCCATAATATGGGAGTGAAACCCCCTCTCTAATCCCAGACTCCCTATCCAGGAGGGACTCTGTATGGGCATGGGAAAGGTTGGGGGGAACCTGGGCACAACCACTACTCCAGGTTCTGGCCCAGGGACCCTAAGATAGCAGGTTTGTTCTACTGCCCGTCTTGCAACTACTTCCCTGGGCTACTTCCCCAAATGATCCCTCCCAGTGCCTTTCCTCTGGTACCTGATCCTCCACCACTCTCTTCCTGCCTTGCAGCTCCTAGCTCTCAGCCAAACTCCCCTCATTCTCAGCACTTTGGCTCCTTCCTTCCCTCTTCCTTGCATGCCACCTAACAGAAGAGGAGCCCTTTTAAACTAGTCTCAACTGGTTCTTGATTGGCCCAGGTAAGTCTAATTAGCCTGATTCCCTTTGCTCTGGAAAGCTCCTAATTAACTCCAGGTGTTCTAACTGCCCTGATTGCTTCAGACTGCTTCCAGAAGGTTCCTGCTGGTCCTAGCCCTGCCCCTGCTAGTTTACCCAGGGCTCGGATAGTTAGTCTAACACATACTTTTCTTCTAGCACTCTTTTGTAAGCCTCTGACCTGACCCTGTCACAATACCCGTCTCCAAGTGCTGGGAACAAGGCTGCACTCAACCTCATCCCCTATCACTGCATCCCTTCCCGTCCCAATCCCCAGAACCAATTCCCATTCTGCCCTGCCTCCATGTGTCTTATAGCACTCTCCCTCCCATCCTCACCAGCTCTCAGAGCTCCCACCCTCCAACCCTCACAGCCAACAGCCCTGCACCCCATTCACTCACATTGTCCCTGCGTGCCTTCCACATCCTCATGCACCAATAGCCTTCTGCCTCCCCCTGCTCGCTCATCCACTCTACATATTCCACACATCTCCCTCCTCGCTCTTCACTGCCCCCTCACACCTTCACCCAGGTCTTATCCTTGGCCACTTTCCTTCTCCATCCTCTCTCCCACCCTATCTTTTCCCCTCCAGCTAAGCTCCCCACCAGTTGGGTGAGTTAAGCTGCCCCTGGAAAGTGTATGAAAAAAACATGTCTCTATGTAGGCCATTATGTGCCTATTAGGTGAATGTACTGCCACACGTGTATACCTTTGTGAACAAAATTTGCAGCCTGACTTTTGTTCCTTTTGCTGGCCTGCGCACAAAAATTAATGACAAAATGTGTATGTACTCATTTCATAATGAATTTTTAAAAAATAAAAGAACTTTAAAAGAAATCTATTATTTCTTAAAAAGTGAGTGTTGATTACTAGTATTTGCTGAAAGAGCCAATGTATCCTACATCTTTTCCCTCCTTTGTATAGCTGCATTATAAGCTCTTTGTTGGGGATTCTTTGTGTGTGTGTCCAGCACTTTCCGCCCTGGGGCCCTAATCTTAGTTGGGTTTTCTAGGCTTGAAACAACAATTATAATATTAAATAATGTGGAAGTATGTATGCTAGTGCATGTTAGATGCGTGCACATGAATGCATGTGTGTATCTGCATGTAGATGTGGGAATCGGTTTCTGCAGATTTGTATATGCCTGGGCTTTGCAGTGAAAATGAGCATGGGAGGGTGGAGGAGAGCAAGCAACAGAGGCAAGGGGGAATGGAGTGAGTGGGGGTAGGGTAAGGAGTGTTCCATTTTCTGGCATTAGAAAATTGGCAACCCTAACTGGATTACAAAAAAAACATGCAAACTCTGGAAACACAGTTTTGATGTAATGAAGCAAAATGAGCTGAGGCAAGCCCATAACTTGATTTAATAAAAGGTGAAATGGTATTTACAGAAATATAATCCATATGCAAAACAAAGGAACTCAGACTATTGGAAAATTTATCCGGTTGTTTATTCTTTTAGTTGAAGAAAAGGATTATAAATCAGTTGGACATTTTGAAAATGGCATATTTGTAGTAGGTTTCTAGTACAGCTGGTTGACATTTTTTCAAACGAGTGGACTGACGAGTGGCTTTTTCTAAAACCAAAAATATTCAAAAAAATTGGTAACCACTTTTTAAAATCTCTCTCTCATTTTATTTATATATATATATTTTTGAGAGTTTGTGCATCTGTCTGTCCATCTGTGAGTCCATTTGTTCAAGAACGCCTTCTAAACAGTAAAGCTAGGAGAACCAAATTTGGTAGGCAGCTTCCTCTAATCCTAACTTAAAGCAAAGTCAGGGTTTGGTTGTACCAGGAAAATGGGATATACCAGGATTTCAATTGTTTTCCATAACATGAAAAAGGAGGGGGGTCTGACAGTAGGGACAATTATGCTCCAATATGACCACAAGGGGCAGCAAGCATGGGGGACAGTCCTATGGCAGAGGGACCCTGGTGGGGCAGGGGAGGGCAGCTACACTGGGAAGAGAGTGGCCAGCTAGGGCTGGGGGTCTTCACTTTGCCAGCAACCAGCCCAGGTAAACACCAGAGCTGGACGGGGGTGGCAAGGGGGGAAGAAGGAAGAGAGCCACTGGGGGAACCAGGCAGCACAGCCCCAGCCCCTCCCTTATGAGAGACCACAAGGGCAGTGTAGCCCCAACCCCCCCGGAAGGAGCTGCCTTGGAGCAGAGCCAGCCTCACCACCACGGGCAGCCCCAGTAACCAGTGTTCCCTCTAAACTGCAGAAGCACAGCTTCACAGGTGATTAATCAGCCCTACCCAATCAGAGGCACTATCACCTGTGAAGCTGTGCTGCTGGGCATCTTAGAGGGAACACTGCCAGTAATCCCCCACCCCCAACTTCCTAGACCTCTGCCCTCAGCCCTTTGGCTTGAGTCTCTCTCCCTAAGCCCTCCCCCCATCTCTTCCTCTGAACCCTACATCTTCTGCCTTGCCTCTTGCACTTCCCATTCCATGCCCTGACTCCTACACTCCCCACCTCCTATCCTAAGCCCCCCAGTGCTTTCACCCCTCACATCCCCAGCCCCGTCCTGAGCCCTCCACATCCCCAAGCACCTGCCCTAAAGTACTGCCCCCAATACCTTGCAGCCCCCTGCCCTGAAGGACCTGAGAAACACCAGGTAATATCAGGCTTTCAAAATGCAAAATTTGGATTAACCTATATTTCAATACTGTTTATTTTTAACCCCATGAAGTGAAAAAATTCAAAAATATTTCCCCCCCCCCTTACATTTTTAAGCCAACTCTAGTAATAAGATCATATGCATGCAATAGAGACACTTCTACATGCTGTAGCACCGGGGCAGATGACGATTTTGCGGGGCCCAGGGCAGCACAATTTCACGGCGTCCCCCTTTTGACATGGTGCATGCGCGGTGGCGCCACGGCACATGCATGGGGCTTCTTGAAGCGCAGGGCCCGGAGCGGCCGCCCCACTCGCCCTGCCCTATATCCGCCCCAGTGCAGCACAGTAGCCTTAGAAGATTACCAGCTAGATTATGAAAGATGGCAGAAACCTTACAAGGGAAAAGTATCTAAAATTCATAAATAATGCCGTTTTTATGTTGCATCTACATTTATTTTTAGGAAAGTCAAGTTGCAATAGTTTAACTGGCGGGAGACAAAGGCATGATGTCACCATAGCAAGGTCCTCATTTGAGAGGATGGGTAGGGTCTCCTGGATAGCTGGAAATCCTCATTGTTGGCATCATTTATTGGTGAAAAAGACAAGGTTTCAGGACTACAGCATTGATTAAGAGCACTAGCAGGCTTGAAAGCTGAAGTTGCTCCAATATATTGTCTTCAATCTTTTGCTTAAGTGAGATCAGGCACTACTGATCCCTGCACAGATTTATGGATATTAAGACTAAGTATCAAAATATTTTCTTAGTGTGGACCAAAGATCACATATGGGGGGGAGGGTCTTTTAAGCAGAGAAGTTGGGAACAAGGAGCAGGACCACATAGACCAGCTAGTTCTGTGGTCAACAGACCACAGTGTAAGAATTGTGGTATTCATACATACCTTCTATATTCCCAGTGAGTGATCCTTCTGCATTTAAGCATTTTAATCAGAGGAGAGAAATACAATGGGATCAGCTCTTACCTGATCCATACAACCTCACATCTGATTTTTCTGGGAAGCGTCTAGTCAAATCTGGTGAAATATGCTGCTGCCTATAGAATGGATTGTACACTGTATCACCATGGGGTCCTTGCTGGTATATATTGGAAAGTTCTGCTTTCCTGTCACGAATAGAGACACTGGCCAAGCCTGTGAAGCAGAACATAAACCACGTGTCAGAGTCTTAGCCGTTAATGAATGTATCGCTATGGTTCATAAAGCAGACAACGTGCCTTTCAGGCAAAGGACACTTTGCTACTTGTTGAGGAAAAACTAACAAGTTCTATTAGATTTCAGCACTCTAAGAAATTAGTGGCACAAAAATGAAATTGTACGTTGAGTCACACACACATACTTTGGAGTTCTTTGATAAAAACTGAATGTGATTTATACATAGATAGTTCCAAAGACTGAGCAAAACAAATGTTCACAGAAAACTGACCAGCATGTGCAGAGAACCTGTGCTTCCACATTGGCTATATCTCAGAGTGGCAGCCCACTTGGTTATAGTAACCCCAGCAACTTCAAGGGGGATCTAGGAAGGACAGATAATGTAGCCTGTGGCTATGTGTACGCTTTGCTTAATTTCCATAGGATACCTATCAGCACAGAGAGATAAAATGACTTGGTCAAGGTCATTCAAATTGTTGGCCGAATCATAGACCATAGAAAGCTTGCCTCTCAGCTGGATGTTTAGTCCATTACAACATAGCTGCCCTACTTTTGTTTTTCCTTTCCTTTTAAGGAGTTCAGGTACAATATTAAGGTCCTAGTATCAGGAATTCAAGTGTGATGGAAGCGCAGAAAGTGAAGTTAATTCCATTAAGAGCAGTCTGCCATTTAGAGGAACGTTATGCTAATATTAAACACACGGGCTATGTCTACACCGGTGGCTCCTTGCACAAGAACTTGCGCAAGGAGTCCTGCGCAAGAACATGTCCACGCTGCCACGTATGAGATGTGCTTTTGCACAAGAGTGTCCATGGCAGTGTGGATGCGCGGCAGGGGTTCTTGCACAATAAAATTCTATAGCTAAAATAGCTAGAAAGCGTCTACACTTGTGCTTCTTGTGCAAGAGCTATGCTCTTTTCTTACAAGTGGAAGCTGTCTTGGCAAGAGCTCTTGCACAAGAGCTACGCTCTTTTCTTACAAGAAGCCATCTCTTACCACGCTGTACTGTACATCGTCTTGCGCAGGAGCAGGTGGGCAGTGTGGATGCACTGTGGATTATTGCGCAAGAACAGCCATTCTTGTGCATGAAGCCACAAGTGTAGAGCCACGGAGTTAGAAACGCAGACTTTTTTGTGCTAGCCTAGTTTGTCACGTAAAATCATGGATAAACTGTTACAAGCCTTGCAAAGAAAATTTGCCAGAACACAATCAGCAAAGAGGCAAACAGCAATTCTGAAAGCATGTCCTATTTAAAGAAGATACACAATCACACATACAGAAAATGGTGTTGCACTAAAAGCACAATTTGGGCTGTTAACCAACCGTCTGAAAACCACGAAGTCTAACAGTACTAGTGCTTTAGTAAAATTTAGTGATGGAAGAACTGCAGCCTATTTCTCTAAACGCAATAAATCTTCCTAAGAAATACATTTTGCCTTTAACATAAGTGGCACACAGCTTACAGGGGTGATTCAGTGGCAATGTTCCATGTTGCCAGTGGGTCACAGCACCCCATTTCTTCTTTGTGGGCTGTTTGGCTGCTTTATGGCCTTTTCTGGACTCCAAGACCTTACAAAACCAACTGTTCACATTGCTTTTTTTGCTGGTCGCTTGTTTTCCCCTAGGTGTCCTCCTCTATTCTGATTGAGACTTGGGGGCTTTGTCCACTTTCAGCATTTCTCATCTTGCAGAATGAGTGGGTTCCATTGAAAGTGTTCGTCACAGCCGCTCTTGTGGCTGTCAAGGGAACAGTGACTGAAGTAAAGGCAGAAGTATGGGCTTCTAGAAAAATTCTTAAGCTCAAAATCGGCCATGAATATTTACAGAAGACACATTTAGCATCTTTGGTTTCCCCAAATGAGAGCTGAACAGCAGTTCTGGGACCGATATATTAAGTATTACCTAATTTTTAAATGCATGAATTTTTACTAACAATGGGGGAAACCTGAAAAACATCCAAAACTCTTCAGTTTGCTAGAATGCCAGAATAAAAATAGCATAAACATTAGAAACAGAGATTGTTCAAAACCAAAATCTATGAATATACCTTCAAAAACTTTGGTTTGGCAGTGATGCTGGGAAGCATTGGAATGCAAACTAACATCCGGAGAGTGGTCTGATTTACATTGGTTAGGCACATAGCTAATTAACGTATCTAATGAAATCCTGTCCTTTTTCTGCAGTTTTTTTATTGGTGCTATTTCACAATTGTGATTTTTAAATTTACCTTGAATTTCCCCAACATGTGATAAACTGCCAAGATTTTGGGGTTGTATGTAAGTTAATTTAAACTGAGGGACCACAAACGGGACCTCCCTGCCATCTGATGGCAGCTTGGCAAGGAGATAATCTTCGGAACAGCCCACTTGACGCTTCACTGACACAGCAGACAATGGAGGTTTCTCCACAATGCTTGTTTTGCTTTTGGCTTCAGATTCCTTCTCCATGGAAACTGTTAAAATAAAGTAAAGTAGTAAGTGCACTCAATCTTGGACAAGAGTCTGAATAGATGTCGTGTGTTTAACAGGATCAACATTTCACAGGGTTTCCTTACCCTCATTGCAAATAGGACCAGTACTTGGAAAGTGCACTCATTATGGAAAGCATTTGTACTGATCCAAACCAGTTTGCTACCCAAACTTTACTGTAATAAGCATCTGTGATTAATACATTATACCTACTGAAAGCTGGGATTACAAGCTTCCAGAAAGTAAACTGTTTTTTTGTTTGTTTTTGCCAGTATTCCAGAACCAAATACAACAAGCACCAGAGTTTGGATAACTGTCATTTTCAGTTCCTGATTAATAATGCTAATTTTGAAAATAAGACTATAATAAGAATTTTGGGTGCTCTAAACAGATTCAAAAGAAGTTGATGATTTTATATTTGATTGCCAGGAAGTATTATTGTTAATTAATCTTCAATATAAAAGCTATTAACCTGCATGCTTATTATTATAGTGTGGAACTCACAGTCATTCTTTTCCTTCTCCACGTAGAAACACCCTTTGCAGCAGTTCTTTATGCATTCTTTTGCCATAGCTTCTATTATTTCAACATAGGCAAGGCTCCAGTGCTGAAATGAATCTTGAAAACATATACACCACACATCAACAGCAGAAATTAAATTCTAACACCATTATTTTAAGACTGCTACATCATGTCCTGAAGTCAACACTATTGACTTCAACGGAAGCAGGATAAGCACTATGAGGTTTATCTTATTTTAGCTAGTTTTTCTTCTAGATAAAACATGGAGGTGGAGAAAAAAAAAAATCAAAAGATTGTGTTTCTAAGGCAAAGTCACTGAAGATAAACAAAATTCTTCCTTTTAAGAGTGCTAATGCTTGCCTCACATTTATATGAGCCACTTGGCTCCATAGAGCTCATTAGCGTTAGTAAAGCGAGTTACAAGTTGTTTATTTTTCCTCCAACTTCTTTTGTTCACACAGCCCTATAGTCTAATTTTCCACAAACATACATCAAATTCCATGTTTTACATCAAATTCCATGTTTTACACTTTAACATATGATATTCATGAATGATACAAAAAGTATTTTTCCCGTGGAACTACTCTTTCAGTTGTTTATGTATAGAATGAAAGACCTATTTCATATACGATTGTGTCCTCCTCACACACAGAAGAGCAGAGATTGCTGACATCTTCTAGAAAACTAAGAGGAGAGGAATCAATGCAGGCCTATAACCCCTGGTGAACATTTAAAGTACCTTATAACAGTAATAACTGGCTTCATATTTAAAGGTCTCCTTTATTCTTTTCAGAGAGACAAACAGCTGCACAGCCTCCCATCCAAAAACAATCTAGCTGCCATAATATTTATGCACATCTCAAATGTGAGGTCCTTTACAGAACATAATGAAGACACCATTGCCTCCCTTTGGAACTACAATATGAGACCAAACAGAACATCAATATGAGCAGAAAGGGTAAGAAAGACAACAAAGAGGAAAGATGGGAGTTATACAAAAAAACTCAGACCTGTGGTTACTTGGTTATCTCTGTCACAGAAAATTATGCTGATAGTTTTCATGCTCCAGTATAAAGACTTCCATATGTGCTTTAAATGAGTTTGGTTTTTGTTTGGGCTTTTTTTGGCATGGGAAAAAGGCATTTAGGGAGCCCCACACACTGATCTAGTGCCTTTATTGCTAATTGTTAATAGAATTAACAAAAAGCCTACATCTACACTACGAGTTTTTTCTGAAAAAAATATGCTAAAGCAGGACTCATTTGCATGAGTTGCAATCTCATTTGTATATTTTCTGCCAATCCGTTTTTGTGCAAAAATAAGCGGTGTGGACGTTTTCTTTTTTGCACAAAACCCCCTTTTTCTGCAAGAGCCTATGAAAATTTTAATTTACTTTAACTTTTCTGAAGGATTCTGAGGGGTAGCAGTGTTCCTCTGAAGGACTGTAGTTTTCTTTATCAATGGAGAGGAGACCACGACTTCCTCTAATTTATTTATCTATTACATGGCATGCTCAAGATCTCACTGTGGGCCAAAAGTTAAAATCCAAAAGTAGCCCTGTGATTATATAGTCAAACATGGCACCATTATTGGCAGTCTGAAATATGGGTGTGTTTAACTGCAAAGCAGAATGCTACCCAGGAAACTAGAAAACATCCTGTTCCTTTGCAAAAGTTGTTATGGGATCTTTAACTTTCAAGGATAATCAAACAAGACTGTGGTTTAATATTCCATTCTAAAAGAGGGACACTTCTTATCAGAGTATTGATTAAAAACGTGTAAGAATTTAATTGTTTATATGGCTGATGAAGGGAAGTGAGATGCAATGTAACATTAAATCCACTGGACTATCCCTCCTCTTCAGGCACATGCAACCTGTTAGCTAAGCATTGTGTAATTAGAGTTTACTGATTTTCCTTCCCAGTTTTTAGTCAGTACACAGCTGGAGTTAAATATTTACTTTTTTTCCCCCACAGTATTTCAACTGGGCTTGTAATAGTTATTAATTTTGTCCTAACCTCTGTAACAATAGTATCTACAACTTGTCAGTTTTCTTAGGTGCAACAGCATTCTCTATCTCAGAATGACTGGTTTGAATTTATCACCAACACTGAAAGATTTTTGGTCTCCAGAAATTTCCCCAGGCTTCTAAGGGCAGGAAAACTAATTTTCCACAAAAAATGTACCAGAAACAGTTCACTACATGACAGAGCAGATTTAGTAACTCATACCCCTAACATTACTGAATAGGGCTCACTGTGCTAGAGAAATACTTATGCACTATTCATCAGCCCAATGACAAATTATTTGCTTTTCATCCCTTCCCAGGGAAGAGAAGAGCATAGACATTGTTGTAGCAGATTTTACACTAATAGTAGTAACTTATTTCTGTATCTTAAGCAGACTTTTTTTGTTTTAAATAATAAAAGCAGGCCATATCCTGTTAAAGTTAAAACCAACTGTGATCTTATTATTTGATTAGTGAAAACAGGAAGTCAAGGCCAGTGTGTGACCAGCCACACATTTCCATTCTGTAGGTGTGTAAGTGTAATTCATCATCTACTGTACAGAAACAAACATGCCGAGATAGTGCTGTGTACACATTAATGTTTTACTGGCATAGAAATATCAGCAGTGAGCTGCTGAGTATATAGACATGAACTTAGCGGCTACGTCATAGCATTAGCTTAAATTAGACTTTTTAGAAAAAAAGTTCCCAGAGCAAATGGGTAACTAACTAAAAGCTATGCCTGTTCTAGCACTTTGTGTGTTAAGGAACAAAGTGATAGTGGCATGTTCTGAATGCAATTCTGAAGCCTCTGCTTATGCCACAAGCACATTACAGAATCATGTTGAACCTTGCTGATGGACTGATCATTTAAAACATGGCTCCAGCTTATGTTGCTTGGCGCGTCTGACATGGAACCTGAATTACACAGATACTCTTTCTAAAAACTACTTTTAAAACTAACCATGAACAAACTATCGAGTATAGCAAAAGGTTTCAGACTCATTCAGATGTTAAAGCCCCATGTTTCCACTTTAGAAACGGAGTAGCAGTTAAATTATTCTAAATGATTTAGTCTACCAGTCCTCAGCACATTTACCTTTTCACTCCCACATTTTCAGAGTCATATAGGATTAGCCACATAACTGCCATTGACTTTATGCATCTAATGGTAAAAAAGTTATGTGGGATAGAGATTAGTTTAACAGATTGTAGCATTGCCAATTCTCACACTTATCAGGACTCTAGCAATTCTGGCATGTTCTCTCCTGAAAACCTGATCAAAAGCTGCTAAGTCATGAATCCTCTCTTACTTAAAATTGAAAATATTTTATGTTGCTGCCCATGGGACTGAGAACAACAAAACGTCTGACACTTCCCTATAGTCTATGTGCACATGAAAGAGAGGCTCCCAGAGGTAAAATTGGCTGAGACCTTGCACTGTTTTTAAGGAGACTGAAGCCACGCCTGCAGGCAAAATGGCTCTTACCAAGGGTGCTGAGAAAATGTTTACAGTCGGAGTATGGAGAGCCATTGAACCAAACTGTAAATCCTGTATACAATGGAAACACCTTCAAACCAGGTGTGCTGCAGCACCCCTCTCATCCTAGTTCCAGCACCTATGTCTGCCACTCCGGAGTTTATAGGGCTAGACAGGACACCAGCGCTGTGAAGAATAGTAGAGACTGAAAGCAATATGGAGAGAACCAAGGGTGGTGACCATGGAATCGCAGAGGAATGGGGTGCAAGGAGGTATAGGAGGCAGAGAACAGTGATATAAATCTGATGGGAGTTCAGCTCTCCTAGATTGAGGGTAGCCAATGCTGTGAACTGATTGCAAGTCCTAGTATTTTGGCACCTGCAGGAACAGGTATTGTGATCATGTGAGTAGCTCCTTTTATTTGGGTTGCCAGATGGTTTAACCAAAAATACCAAACACCCTCCCCCGCAACAGTAGTTTAAAAAAAAACCCAAAACCAAAAAAAAAAAAAAAAAAAAAAAAAAAAAAAAAAAACCAGCAGCCATATTGTTTTCTTACTCTGTGTGGGAAGAGAGCTCCCCTGCAGAATGAAGTAAGTGGGGAGGAGGAAGGGCTTGGGGAGAGGGTGCAGGGGGAGGAGGGGTGTCCGGGAGAGGCCCTGGGACTCACCCGGTTGCTGAGTATGGAAGGGTTGCCAGGTGTCTGGTATTTTCGCCTCCTGGCAGGGAAAAAGAAAAAAAATACTGGACATTTTAGGTGTCCGGTATTTTCTGATTTTTTTTTAATCCGTCAGGAGGCGAAAATACCAGACTATCCGGGTCAATACCGGACACCTGGCAACCCTATATTTTATCCCACAATTTTCAGGCCTAGGCACATGAGGAAGAGCTGTGTTTGTGAATCCTGATGGGGGGGGTTGTGTGTGTGTATGGGGGTGGGTTCTCAATATTAGAAGGTTCTGACTCATGGTTTTGTTTCTCTTAAAATTGGCAATATTGAAGTTCTGTTGTATACAGGTTGACCCTCCCTAGTCACTGGCACTCTCATACCAGAGTGGTCCCAAACAAGAGAATTTGCTGGACCAGAGAAAGTCAGACATTCGGGGTCTAGAGTGACTCCCCTCCTTGCTGCTGCTCTGAAGAACCCAGAGGCCTGACTTCCTGTGGCTCACCTGCCTAAGTCTGCTGCCCCCAGCCCACTCCTGGGGCTTTTCTCCCTGACCCCAGCCCTGCATGGCAGGGGCAGCTGCTCCCCGGGTTCCCCAACTCTAGCCCTGCATGTTAAGCAGGAACAGCTGTTCCCAGGATTCCCAGGACTTGCGTAAGGCAACAGCTGCTTCTGGGCCTCTCTACCCCCAGTCACAGCCCCTGCACTCTGATGCGGACCAGACTGGCTCTGCTCCCAGATGCTCTCAACCATTGCGGCCGGAGCTCTCTGGTCTAGCAACATCTGTGGTCCTGCCAGACTATGGATGTTGCTGAACTAGGGAGTCCCAGACGAGAGAGGTTCAACCTTTACACTGATTATTTTAAAAAAAACATCCTGCTGGGGAGTAGAATAGGATTTTTCCTATAGGTTCTAACTATCATCAAATTCTGTATGATTTAG